ACCATGCAGTGTTCCCTTGCTCTGTTCTGACGACTGCCTCCTGGTCCAAGTATAAGTTTCGCATTAGCACGATCAAGTGTTCTGGGATTCCCATTTTTCTCAGAGTCAGCTACAGTTTGTTATGATCTACACAGTCAAATGCCTTTGCATAGTCAATGAAACACAGATAGGCATTCCTCTGGTATTCCCTGCTTTCAGCCAAGATCCATCTAACATCAGCTACAATATCTCTAGTACCACGACCCCTTCTGAAACCAGCCTGAACGTATTGCGATGGGTTTGGGGTTTTTTTTTTGGGTTTTTTTGGTTTTTTTTGTGAAAAACCCCATCGCAATAAGTTTTTTATTTCCTCACTGCTGATGCCAAGAGTGTTGACTGTGGAGCCGAGCAAACAGAATCTCTGAACGATCTCAATCTTTTCGCCATCCATCACCTCCTGCTATGATTTAATAGCCTTGGAAATCTGACTGATGGTTACTATGGTCCGGAAATGACTAAATGACAGTGAGACCTTCAGGTTAACAACTGAATGCTTATCCATTATACCACAACTTCTTACCCACAAGAACTGAGATGTTAAAGAAAGACATACTCAAACTGAGGACTCAACTTAGTTGCAACTCATGTGTACAACAGAAGACCTATTATAAAGGGAAAATCTGAAGTCAGGGACATCTCCAAATTACCAAGGAGAAATGATGTCAATTTGAGGACTAAGGGACACCTGATTCAGGTTATGATTGTTTCAATCACTTGCTATACATCTGAGAGTTGGACAAGAATAAAGATGACAGAATAAGAATTGGTGACTTTGAGCTGTGGTAAAAGAGTACTTAATATCCATCCCATGGACTGCCAAAAAATCAAACAGATATGTCTCGGAGAAAGTGCAGACAAGAGACATCGTGCTTGAAAAGTTGAAGGGTTGGTGAAAGAGAGGCAGACCCTCAACCAGCTGGATTGACACAATGACTGCTGCAATGGGCTCGGGTATGTCTGAAATGATTAGGATGGCACAGGATAGGACAGGGTTCAGATCTGTTATTTACAGGGTTGATGTGAGTCGTACTTGACATGACAGCACCTAACAACAACAAAATGAGGATAACACACATACCATTAACCAATAAAAAAATGCAACTTGCTCCTCATTCTCCCCTTCTTTTTCCTATGGCTGTTCTTACTATAAATATCTTACTTTTTTCCCCACTGTTCTTGCCTATGTTGATGGTGTGAATGTCAGAATTTAGTTCATAGGCTACTAGCGCATGTCTTCCATTTTGATGGCAATTGTGATACATTTCACAGAACAAATATAACTGTGGATCCAGTAATCAGTGAAGTCAGGGGCTGTCACCTTTTAGGGGAGAGTTGGTCTATTTTAACCAATTGTGGACATTGCTGATGATTATGAATTACGGACCAGAAGAGCTTAAATGAGTGTTGGGTACCCAAAGTGTGGAATCACAATAGGATAGTATAGTGATTTCTTGAATCTTTCCTTCTCAAGGTATAATCCCAGTTTTGTTCAGGTAACTATACCTGAACTCATAGTTCATTGGATTGAGAGAGCTCTAACTCTAGATCTAGGTGTAGATCTAGGCCTGGGGCATATGACTCACCCAGGTATGCGTTTGCTCAGTGAGAGATGAATTCTTGCTCCGTTTCTCCTTGGTGAAGTTCTTGGGGGGTATAAGTATTGGAGCAGACATTTCACCACCATGAGGAGAACACACTGAGTGAGGGAAAGTTGAAATAATCACAGCAAAGTGGAGCCGCAACCCTGACCTAGAAACCATGCTGCCCCTGGACTTCTGAGTGACAGAAGGTCTTAATTTTAAACTGGTTTGTCTTCCCTTATTTTATTATAGAGGATCATAAATAAAAACATGAGAAAATTCTGGTTGGCTGAGCAAGACGGTGGATTAATTAACAAAAGAAACCAGACATTTCTTTAAGGGGTTGAAAGGACTCAGTTGTTGCATTTTTTAACATCACATATACTCTTTTCATGAGGACTTATGTTACTTGTCTATGACCATTATTACATCTGTGGATTGTTTAGGTGAGACTGAATGTCAATACACTGCACCTGGCATCCAAACGGCCTCTGCAAAGGTTGGATGATGGAAGGAAGCCTGCCATCTGCCAGGCCCAGGTTGAGGGAGTTCTCTAATGTCCACTCTGACTGTGAGCAGTCAGAAACCTCCTAAACTTTTCTACTCTCCCCACCACTCTTGCAGAATATGAATAACATGTCTCCCAAACTGAAGGCCTTCCTCTCTGAACCCATTGGAGAAAAGGATGTTGGCTGGGTGGACGGAGTCAGCCATGAGCTTGCAATCAATTTGGTCACCAAAGGCTTCAGCAAGGTAATCACCCCACTTTTTCTCCACCTTATTTACCTAAACTCTCTTTCCCCTAGTCCTGCCAGATGGCAGCCCTGCCACCTGACCCTACAAGACCATCAGAGGACAAACTGCCACTTGACAGGGGCCACATACTTCAATTTAACTGACCTCTCATGCTTGGTAACCTCAAGGGCCTTCATACGATGAGCATACAGAATTGCTCTCATTTAGAGGATCAGGGCTAGACAGGATTCACTCGGTGCTCAAACACCCCGGGTAACAGACATTAGCAGGTTGCTGGAATCTGGATTCAGTGTCCACTCTCATCTTCATGAGAGAGTATCTGTGGGGTCTTACCAATCCTTTTTGAGGTGCCTCCTTGGCATTGAGATAGAGGATAGAACACATCCTTGGCGCACACCCTTCCCAATTTTGAACCATGCAGTGTTTCCTTGCTCTGTTCTGACAAGTGCCTGCTGGTCCAACTATAGGTTTCGCATAAGCACAATCAATGTTCTGGGATTCCCATTATCTTCAGAGTCAGCCACAGTTTATTGTGATCTACACAATCAAATGCCTTTGCATAGTCAATGAAACACATAGACATTCCTCTGGTATTCCCTGCTTTCAGCCAAGATCCCTCTAACATTAGCTATAATAACACTACTACCACTGCCTCTTCTAAACCCAGCCTGCACTTTAAGCAGTTCTCTGTTGATGTGCTGTGCCAGTAATTTTTAGATAATCTTCAGTAGAATCTTGTTTGCATGTGAAATAAATGTTATTGTTCAATAATTTCCACACTCTGTTGCATCACCTTTCTTTGGAATGGAAACAAATATGGATCTCTTCCATTCAGTTGGCCAGGTGGTTGTCCTCCAGATTTCTTGGCACAACTTGGTGAACACATTCAGGGCAGCGTCTGTTGAAATATATCAATTGGCATGCTGTCAGTTTTGGGGGACTTGTTTTTTGCCAATTCTTTCTGAGCAGCTTGAATTTCTTCCTTCATCACCACAGGCTATTGCTCATATGCTGTGTCATGAAATTCTTCTGTGTCCGGCAATTCCTTTTTGTACAATGACTCTGTATACTCTTTCCATCTTTTTAAAAATGCTTTCTGGATCATTCAATATTCTGCCCAAAGTATCCTTAAATATTACAACTCAAGGCTTGAACTTGTTCTTCAGTTCCTTCAGCTTAAGAAATGCTGAATGAGTTTAGTCCTTTTGATTTCCTGATCCCTGCTCTTTGCATATTCATTGTAATACTTTACTTTGTCTTCTTTGGAGGCAAGAATTCTGAAACTTCATCTAACATACTTTGGACATGTTGCAAGGAGGGATCAATCCTTGGAGAGGGATGTCATTCTTGGGAGGGTGGAGGGACAATGCAAGAGAGGAAAACCCTCGATGAGATGGATTGATTCAATGACTGGAGTAAAAGGGGTAGGTGTATCAGAGACAAAAATATTGACACAAGGTTTAGGGTTGTTGTACATAGGGTCGCTATGAGTCACAGGCAACTCAATAGCACATAACAACAACAACTTGGCATTGACTTGTGGGATAATAGAAAAATGGGTGTAAAGAGATGCGAATTGTTCTAAGACCTCATTCTCAGCCCAAGCTGGCCCCAATGACATCCAGGGAAATCACTGACCTTTTTGGTTTTCTATTTGTTTGAGTCCGGCTCTTAAAAAGTTACTGTTGGATGCTCAGGAGAGGATGGGAAATGTTCCCAAACTAAACTGAAGTGAACTCATGCAAAGGAGGTTGGGAACTCAAGTCTCTCATGACATATTTCTTCAACAGGTAATTAATTCCTTTTTTTTAGTCATTTTACACCATTAGGTTGGATGTAGAGCTTAATAATCTGTGTGGCTTGTTCCAGTGAAATACATGAGTTGTTTCCATGTGGCATCTTATTTGATTGGGGCTGTGACTGTCTGCTGACAAGCTGCTCTATGCTGATGATATTGTTCTTTGTTGTTGCATTGGCCCTCTATTGATGCTGATCTCATGAACCATGAGATGGAATGCTGCCTGGCCCTGCTCCGCCTTCCTGATTGATTGTGTATCTAATTGTTGTTGTGTGGTCCATAGGACTTTTAGTAACTGTTTGCAGAAATAGATCATTCGGTTTTTCTTCCTGGTCTGGAAGCTCTGCTGAAGCCTGATTATCCTCTGAATGCTGCATAAGATCTACTAGCAGATGAGTAATGGCTGAATGGGAGGTGAATTAGCTAAAAATTTAACCCAGATATCTTGCATGGGATGTGAGGATTCTACAACTGAACCATCAATTTCCCCTTTAAGCCACTCTGAATCAGTTATTAAATATATGATATATTCTTTATCAATACCACAATTCTAAGGCATCGAGTTTTCTTTGATCACTCTTATTACTTGTTCAAGTTTCAGATGTATAGAAAGCAATTGAAAAACCATGGCTTGATTCAAGCTCACCTTAGTTTTTAAACTGATGTTCTTTAGTACTTTGGTGAGGTCATTGACAGAAGATTTTCCCAATACAACATGCCTTTTGCTTTCTTTCCTGCTGCTACTGTGGGTGTTGATTATGGATTCAAGTAAAATGAAATAATTGACAACTTATGTGTTTATTTCTTCTATCATGATACTGCTTATTGGTCTAGTGGTGAAGATTTTTGTTTTCTTTTCTTTTTTTTTTTTATTTTGTTTTGTTTTCTTGAGGTTGAGTTGTAACCCATATTGAAGGCTTTGTAGTTTTTGATCTTCCTTAGAAATTGCTTCAAAGGTTCTTAATTTTCTGCAAGCAAGGTTGTATCATCTACATAATGCATGTTGTATGTATCATCTACATAATGCATTTGGTGAAGAATATTGAATATACCACGGACTGCCAAAAGAATAAACAAATACATCATGGAAGGAGTGCAACCACTGTGTCCCTTAGAGGTAAGGCTAGTGAAACTTCACCTCATATACTTTGGGCATGTTATCAGGAGGAGCTAGTCCATGGAAAACAACACCAACACCATGTTGGGGAAAGGTAGAGGGTCATTGAATGAGAAGACCCCGAGAAGAGGGGTTGACACAGTGACAGCAGCAATAGGCTCAGCAGAGATTGTGAGGCTGGCACAGAGTAAGGCAAGGTCCAAAGTGTTGTAATTTAATTACAGTAACAGTTTAGTATGCCTTTCTGCATGCAAAAAGAGAGTCATTTAGCTACCATCACAGTATCCTCCCATGTGATTTACTGCCTCAGAAACCTGCTAAAGCATCAGCTATTGAGTCCGAGTCAATGGCAATGAGAGAGAGACAATCAAGACACAGGGCGCATCTGATGGTTTCAATGAACATCCCAGTTAATTATTCTAACAGCATGTTTAATGTCTCTTTTCTGCCTTTCATTATGTTGTGCTTCTTTCGCTGTCTTCCCCTCCCCCCTTCTGCCTTCCCCCCCCCCTCTCTCTGCCATCAAGTTGGAGCTGACCCTCTAGCAGCTTTTCAGAGGCTGTAAATAGCATGGCATGAGATCACCCATCTTTCCAGACCACCTGCCTTTGGATTGGCAGTGCAACTCCTTACCACTAGGCCACCAGGGCTCCCTGTGTAGTGCCAAGGATCTTAAAATCTTGCAAGCAGCTATCCAAGGCATAAAAATTTGGTCTCTATATACCTGAACCAACAAAGAAAGAAGGAAAATCAGTCATAAATAGGAGGAATGAAATATGTGTCAATTACCAGCATGAACAGTTGTTTGCTTTGCTGTGAAGCCAGAAGAACTGAAGGGTGCAGGAGCAATGATTTTTTAAATTACTACCTAACTTTGGAGGGACTGGAAAGCATTGTGCTAAGTGAACTAACTCAGTTCCATAAGGATAGATAGGACAAATACTGTACAAGATAATTATTGTAGAATGTGTATGAGGATCCAAGGGGGAAAGGGGAAGCAGAGAGGTGAGGATGGGTGGTGGGGGAGCTTAATCATAGGGTTATACAATTTGATGGGTGGAGGTAGAAGTGTGTAAAGGAAAGGGGGAATTCCAATGTGGAAAGGCATGTATACAAACTTTGTAAACCAGTATAAAATAAAAAATCTTATATATAAAGCCAGACAAACATACAAACAAAAAGTATGACCTTAACTGACCAAGTATTCTCAAGAGAAGATAGATAATTGAAGTCAGAATCAGTCCAGCACAATTCTCTTTGTTTTTAATTTGATTCTTAGCCCACTAAAAAGTTTAGCTGGTAAAGATGGTAGAATTCACCATCAAGGCATCATTTAAAATGGGAAAAAAGTTTTCGCTTATGAAGACATGCAAAGATATATAATCTATATAATTCAATTCCATATCTACTATCTACCTTTGTTATAGCCATTGAGAAAATAAGATGTGATCCATGTGCTCAAAGAGTTCAAAGTCATAAGAAAGCTTGATAGATGGGGTCATAGTTGTAGTGTCATGTGCCAGAATTGAAACAGAATCCCATACAAAGTGGCCCTTGAGAAAGCTGTGTAGGAAAGAGAGACTGTTTAGAAAAGAGCATAAGAATGGCATATAGATGCTCAAAAGTCAATGGAATATTGAGAGAAGAATACATTGTACATGATGGCATCCAGGGATACTGGGGAGAAAGTAAACTAAAATATATGATAATGAAAAGTTATGAAACGATTGTAAAACAAGGGATTTAACTTAATCTTGTTGAGAGAAGGATGTTATCAACATTGTTTTGGGATTTTATTTACCTCTCTTTAAAAATTATTAAAATAATATAATAACATTAAAATGTATTTTGAAACAACATTAAAAAAAATTATAATAGAGGAATCTTGATCAAAAAGAGGGAAATGCAAACAATGACATTCTTATGAACTCCAGTCTTCCTGGAGTCACAAAGATCAGATGAACCCCTGAAACTATTGCCCCAAGATAATCATTAAACCTTAAACCAAAATAATCCTCTGAGTTTTCTTAAAAACAAACAATAACTAATTAAAACTGTTTTTCTTGAAACATCATACTTTTT